CCGGGGATCAAACCAACAACCTTACAATTAGGGAACGACCCTGCTCTGCCTCTGCGCCACAGCCACGTGTGTATTCAAAGCCTGATATATCTTCTTCCTCTGTGCTATAGAGCTTCATTGTTGTTCAAACAGGTAGTTCATCAGGTCAGCTTTACCTAAACACCAAAGCGAACCTTGGTTATGCTAGCTAAGCTATGTGAGAAATTAGTAGTTTGCTAAACAGTTAAGAAATAAATAGCTGGCTGGCCACAAGGCACCCCAGCCCCTGATGTAAGTGGTTCTTGGTCCTATAGCAGCCGGTCAGCAAGCAGTTTTCCTGGCCAAGAGTTAGTATTCTAGCTGTTGAAACATGAAGAACTGGTTTCAGATTTGGCACCAGCTCTGAACCAGCCCTCAAACTGCCTGCGTGGAAAAAAAGGGCAGCATACGTTAGTAAAGCCTGGCCTCACATCACCCTGACCTTTTACTGTGAGAAGGCCAACTGAAGGTTAAAATCTTTTAAAATAATTTATTCCTTACAACTAATATTTGGGAACTGCATCTCTGTGAGGAAGTAGTGAAGTGATAGTAAAAGGATCTTCCATCTCTAAAAAGCTGTCCTCGGACTGTGTCTCTATATGTGAGGGATGATGGCGGGGGGTTCCTCACAACAAGTGAGGACAGCTGATGAATGCTAATATTCAGTCTATAGGGCAAAGAATGTCGCGTACTGGCGCACCAGACACTCCCACCCTTCTGACAGCTTTTCAACAATTCCTTGCTAGAAACTAAAAACCTCCTCCCTGACACAACACAGGCAGCCTCTGTCCAGCCTTTGTTTGGGTAAGGATTTCACCAAAGGAGGGTCTCACCCAAACTAAATAATCAGGGGGATCTGGAGCTGTTTCCACTGCACATCTAGTAGCACTGAGTGAAAATATCTGATTATCTGATCAGTGAATGTTTAAGGTTCCAGGTTCCTTAAGGGGGTCTGGAAGTCTGCAATGAAGTGCAAAGCAATGTCTGACTTTGAAATAGTCCGGGTGGTCACAGTCTAAAGCAGTGATACTCGACTTAAGGCCAAAGACGCAGACTATTTTCATATGATAATAAACTGATTCCCACTGGGAATTTGATTTGTTTATACCAATTAGAAAATCCTGATTAATGTCACTTGGGCACAAATTGAACATATCAACTATCATACTGCTATCATTGATGTGTGCAGTTTGCAGAAACGGTGACACTTGATTGGTTAAATGGTTTGTAATAAAAAAAGGCAATTCAATGAAAAATGGGTAGAAAATTGTAGCTTTATTTTGCCACCTCATACCCTGAAGCTGTGGTTCCCAACAGACCCTTTTTTTATCATTGAGTTAGCAACCCCTGACTGAAATATTTAATGGAGATTTTATATCATATTCAATGTACGACAATGTTCAACATTAACAGTAAAGAATAACTGATAAACTGTACAATGAACCCAAATAGTGAACACAATAACTGCAAGACGATTTGGATGAATTATTTCCTGTGAATATTCCATCAGAGATGAGATTGCCTAACATTTTTAGGAATGTTTTATACAACTCTTTGTTTGTATTATGTTTTTTTTTTTTTTTTTGTCATTTAAACCTAATAGGCTTCTTTTTTGACAAATCCACTGTTTTCTTCTCCCAGATGTTTGGCCATGGTTCTATTAGCTCTTTGGTGGTTGTAACTGCATAGTTTCCTAATGCAGGACAAGGCTGTTTATCAGAGAGTAAAGGCTCTGTGAATATAGCTTGTGTTCAGGTCTCCAAAGTTTAGATCTTCAATAATAATCAAAGCTTTAATAATAACTATTTCATAAAGTTTTCTTCACAGAAATTCTGAAATTAAGCTTTGGCAACTCCCAGGTTGCCCTATAAAACGGTTTAATTTGCCAAACGACTAATAATCTGTATGCAAGGTTGCTAATTTCAGGCACCATTAAAAGTCAAAACATGCTAGCTTCAGTGCAGTGTTCCCGCCTGGTAGCACCACAAGAGGACCTTAACCTTTATTGACCCAGACAAATTATTAAGAACAAATTCTTATTTATGATAATGGTCTGGCAAAAGGGAATCATCTATTCATTGTATTTGATATCACTACGATTTGTCTATTGACTGGCCTCCTGTCATTTTGCAAAAGTGCCCTCTGGGAAAAGCTAGTTGAGTATACTTGGTCTAAAGTGTTGTTTGCAATGGCAGTTAATTTTCACATAAAAGGTTCATCCCACTTTGAACACTTTGAATCTGCTTTTAAATCGTTTCAATCTCCTACACAAATA